GGAGAGAAAGTCCTTATGCAGTCTGGGGAAAAACATTTTCAAAAATGAGCTGACTTGGAAGAAGGAAATCTGTTGGTGCCCAATAGGAGTTTGCTAAGCCAATGATGCTCACTTTAACAGCATAGACCGAAGGCCTACTGTTGCTTTCTGCTTTAGCTGTGTGTGTTTCAGCTCGTAGACAAGAGTATAAACTTTGAGAAAATAGAATCTTTTCTTTTTTTAATCTTTTGTGTTCTCTGAGTAGTGTGAGTCCTTCGGGAGAGATTCAGATCATGTGGACTGAAGACAGGAATTCTTCAATTCCCACCAGAGCTTGGTGTGCAGACTGCTATCAGTCTTGGAAAAGGATTGATGGAAACAATGTTTGCCTCTCAGCTCTACCATCCCCACAGCCTTTGGCATCAAGAAACAGTATGAGCTGGGCATGGTGGCACCTGCCAATAACCACAGCGCCTGGGAGGCTGAAGCAGGACGATCTTGAATACGAGAGAAGCCTGAGTTATCTAGGTAAGCGCAAACTAGCCTGGGCTGTGCTGTATGACCTTGTCTTGAAGAAGGAGGAGGAGAAGGAAAAGAAAAAGAGGAGGAGGAAGCGGGAGAAGGAAAGGAAGCAGCAGTAGCAGTAGCAGCTGGCTGTCAAGGACATTTCTTCCTCTTTGGCATCTATCTCCACATGACTGAAAGGCAAAGGAAAGATAAACATGCAGAGGCATTTGGCTGAGCTCATAGACACATGCATAGGTCACCGGAAGGTCAGGTCTTGGAAAATGTCTTCAGTGCCTCCCTTTCCCCATCTCATGCCCAGTGGAATGAAACTAGAGAGAGTGGGGTGTCTTAAAGGACAGTTCTGTCTCCTTATCCAGAAGCACCTTACAGGAGGTGTTTTGGTTCTGTGTTCTCCTAACATTTTGTAAAGTCCCAGTTTACCCTGAGCACACAGGTCTGATAGAAACCTTTTTCCATAATGTCCATTCTTCTCAATTGTGGCTTTCTTTTTTAATTCAAATTCAATCTTCCCCAGAACCCTCCTGTGTTTAATCATGGGTTCTCCTCCCCCAACCCCTTGGCTTAGAAACATACCATCTGTGATAAGGATAGAAACTGAAATTTATTCAGGTGCAAGTGGAAATGACTGCAAATTGCTCTCTGGGCTTGATTATCGAGCTTAAGAGTATCTAAAGACCACCACGCCGATCCCTGGCCTAGTCCAGGCCCTTGTGTGAGAACATGTACATGAAGGGGCTCGGAGTCGGCAATCTTTCTTTTTATTATTAATTCATTCATTTTACATGTGGATCATAGCCCTCTCCTTCATCTCCCTGTGTCACTCTCCCTCCCTCTTCTCCCCTATCTCAGTCCTCTCTCTAGTCCTCAAAAAGAGGGAGCCCTCCTCCTTTACCAGCTGACGTCAGATTATCAAATCTCTTCAAGTGTGCTTGCATCCTCTTCCTCTGTGGCCTGGCAAGGCCACCTCACCTGGGGGAAGTGATGGAAGAGCAAGCAACAGAGTTTGCCTCAGAGACAGCCCCTAGGGGGACCCACATGGAGACTGAGTTGCCTATCAGCTACACCTGAGCAGGGGGCCTGGGTCCTCTCCATGGGTGGTCCATGGTTGGTACAACAGTCTTCAAAGAATCATCATACAACTATCCACAGACCTAAAGAAGCTAAGTAACCAGGAAGACCTAGAGCACAGGAGCCTCCAGAGCTGTCCTCTGAGAAACGCCACCCAGCAGGGGATCGAAGCAGATGCCGAGGCTCACAGCTAAGCTTTGGGCAGAGCGCAGAAAGTCTTATGGAAGAGTGGAGGGTTAGAAGGACCCAGAGGGGACAAGAGCTCCACAAGAAGACCACTGGAGTCTGCATTCTTAAATGTTGAACTGCGCAGTGGGAGGGAGGCTCTTCAGCACCCCGGAGCCAGCAGCAAGTCTGATGGCAATGGCTTCCCACATTTCACACGGTGAATTTTTCTTTCCTGTCTCTACATGCCAAGCTTGAGGATCCTTCCTGCTTTATCATTTATGATGCTATTCATTATTTCTGTCCACAATTCCCAATTAGCCATAGACTCCCTTCAAGACTGTTCTCTCTCTCTCTCTCTCTCTCTCTTCAAACCAAACTAAGCTTTTACTTATCAGTTCCAATTTCCCAAGCTCTGTTCCCTGGGGAAACACTTCTGATTAAACCCAATTCCCAAGTCAAACTAAAACTTTGCATTAGGGATTGAAATGAAACTTGAAGAGGAAACCAAATCTGTTCATTTCTTTGCTCCAAGGTTTTGAGGCACCATTGTGCTTTTGCTAATAGTGCCTCTTCCTCATTTACCTTGGATTTATGGTAATCTGGGCCCCAGAGCTTGAATTCAAGACAAGCCTGAGTTTCCTAAGTGAGTTTAAAGCCAGCCTGGACTACACAATATGACCTTGTTTTGAAGAAGGAGGTGGAGGAAGAGAACAAGTTCTCCAGAGTGAGGCCCCAGGGGCCAGGAACAGCATCTGCTCTTCCTGAGGACTGGGGTTCAATTCCCAGTACCCATATGGTAGCTCACAATTGTCTGTAACTCCAGGCTCAGGGGATCCAGTGCCTTCTTCTGTGCCTGTGAGGGCACTAAGCATACATGTGATACACAGACGTACAGACAGACAAAACCTCCATACACATAAAATAAACAAATTAAAAAAAAGAAAGAATTCAGGGGCTGACCATACCTCCTGCTTCCCCTCCAACCACCAGCTTCTGTCCCATCAGCCGAAGGCCAGGATCATAGCTCCTGAAAGGCCTGAGCAGCTCTGACCTCAGTGTGTGTGACTGCTTCCAACGCATCGAGTAGAGACATCTCTCATTCATTCGTTATATTATTCAAAGGGCCATGGGGGAAAGGCTGGCATAAATAACATGTTGTTCTACAGGAGTTATTGTTCCAGGGATGAAGACATAGGGCTTGGTTAGGGACCCACTCCTTTCACCATGGCTGGGATCGGGAGGTTGATGAGAAAGGAAAACTAGGCTCGAGACTTTGTGGCTGCATTTCCAGTATACGGATGGCAGAGCACGAACTCCATCGTTCTGCTGGTAATGACCCAGACTTAAGGGATGCTACCTCATGACTGCTGTGCACCCTGTCTGCTGTCTTCTAAGCCATGACTTTTCAGTCCTCAGCGACAAGCAAGCTGACAGAAACACATATGGCTTATGTTTGTTACCGTTTTTGCTAAAATCTCCCTGGTTATACAAATGGGGTAAAAAAAAAAAATAGCTTTCAGTTTCTCTGTGTATATGTTCATGTGCAGTATGTGTGTACATGTGAGAGCTGGGGATCTGAACTCAGGCTCTCATGCTTGTGTGGTAGGTATTTTACATTCTGAGCCACATCCTATGCTCCAATTTCTGTTTCTTCAGTAAAAACTCAGGCTTTTAAGGGTCACAGGACTTCAATTGCTTTCTATCTTTTTTGTTTGTTTATTTTGGATTGTTTGTTTGTTTGTTTGTTTGTTTCATACAGGGTTTCTCTGTGTAGCCCTGGCTGTCCTAGAACTCCATCTGTAGACCAGGCTGACCTCACACTCAAGAGTTCTGCCTGCCTCTGCCTCCCAAGTGCTGGGACTAAAGGCGTGAGCTACCACACCACTCAGCTTCCATCTTATTTTTTGAGACAGAATTTCTCACTGATGCAAACCATGAGCCAAAGTAAACCATTCCTTAAGTTGATTTTGTCACAGCAATGAGAAAAATCACTGATAAACTTCTCATCTAGTATGACCACGAACCCACCGCACTGGCATCACCAGGAGCCTCTTGGGAAAGCAGAACCTCGTTTCCACATCAGACCTGCTGAATCAAACCTTCATTTTTACAAGACCCTCTGAGAAAGCGCCACACAGGTACCATGTGAGAACTGCAGCATTTTTCCATTCATAGAGTGATGGGCAGTAGTAAGACCCAGAGAGCAGGGCGGATAGAAGGCTTAGCAATGCCAGATTCTATCACACTCTCCTCAGGTTTGAACCCTGGCGCTAGCTGAGCAGGCTGGTGTGACGAACTGCTGGAAGAGGATCTTTCTTTTTCAGCCCACAGTGGATAGGATAGAGTTGGGGTGATAGCAGCGTACCCAGCACACATTCGGTGTGCTTGAAGAACACTGTTAATAAAAGTGTGACTAACCAGCATCACTCCTCCCACAGATTTGCCCTCACTAGGAAGAAACTCTGCATTACCTAAGTCACTGAACTGGGTGACCAAAGTCTGTTTCCTTCTGAGGAAAATCACGCCAGGCAGGCCTGGCTTGGTTGGCTTCACCAGGAATCCTGACTTAGGTTTTGCAAACAAAAGGGTTGCCCCTGAAAGGCAACATGTTATTTTTTTTCCACTTCCTTATTGCATTGTTTGAGTTCCTCCCTGTCTGAAGCCTCTTTAATCTGCCAGCTTTGGGTTCCACCTTGAAAGTTTTGACTCTCATTATTGATTCCAAAGTAAATACTGACTAAGGTGGTGGCAAAGTCAACATATTTTTTGAGAGGCCATTAATCTTGCTGTTGAGTGAAACCAGATGCCAGAAGTATAGACCGTGCAGTTGCAATTCCGTTGTACGATTGTGCTCACAAGAATTCTTGTCTCCAGGTAGCAGAGACCTCAGGCCAGCTGTTGTGAAGAATGGCATCCATTTCCACCAAGGACCAAGGAATATTTGACTGTATAAGTCAATAACTAGTCTCAAAGCCACTGTTGACCTCTGACCCACATATCAGACAGCAAGAAGAGATTATGGTAGTTCTATTGCTGATAAAAATGCAAACCAGTTGGTTAATCATTTGCCAAAAGGTTAGCTGGTCACCCCTGATTAAAAAGTGAGAGAGAGAGCCTAATGTGGCCATGTGTCCTTGCACCGCTGTGGAATGTCAGAGGAAACAGCTGCCTGACCCAACACATCCCGGAGAACGGTTTCTATTGGCTGAAGGGGAGTGCAGCTGCTCCTCTGTCTGTCTCTCTCACCTAACGAAAGCGTTCTATGCAGTGGAAACAAGGTATTTCAAGTGCAGCCATGTCCTTGGGATGTTCTGGTAAGGTTGTTTCTATCCCAACTTCCCCCCAAAAGAAGTCATGATGTTTCTCTTATTTCTTCATCATCTCAACACCTGCAGTAGTGTTTTGTATGCCACGGGTAGTTCATAAATATTTTAAAGTGAGTAAAGCATTTTTCCCACTGTGCTTTTTTTACACAGTCAACTACATGAACCTTTCCTAGATGGAGCCCTGTGGTTTATTTAAAGCAGTGATTTCCTTTGTCTTATTGTTTCTCCATCACCGGAGAACTATAGGTTCAACTCTCGATTTTTTGTCCTTTCCAAGAAAGTAAGATAGCAGATAACACAGTAAGATACAACTTCACAGGAGGAAACTCATGCCTGATAGGGCTAATCTGGCTAAGAGTCTGAGGCTGGGGAGTTCAGGCCCTAGGAGTGAGCCTCCTGCTGTTATTTTGTGAAACCGACACAGCCTGAAACTGCCTTCTAAATATCGGCCTCCGGACTCATAGGTTAGTATAGGTCTTCACCTTTATCAGATCAACATCTTTGTGCAGAGACTCAGGTGGTCAAAATGCAGAAAACCAGTGTCTGTGGAGTGCTTACTCATAACAGGACATCTATACTCTCTGTAGCTTCTCCTTCCACAGCTCAGAGAACATTGTGGAATAGGGGAAGGGAAAGGACAAGGGTCACGGAAGATGGAGGTGAAAGAGTGTTCTTTATACATGACAGGACCAGTGCAATCAAGAACTGATAGTCACTGTGGCTTCCTGCACAAGATCTGTAAAAGACCAAGCTAATCAACATTACAGCATTGGTGGAGGAGAGGCACACAAGCTCCCCCACCCAACTGAGAAGTTGTTGACAGTGGCTGCCAGCAGTGAAAAAGAGTCAGTGTACTTTAGGCATGGGGCCCTTGGTAGATGGCTCCTCACCCATTCACACATGTACAGCACTAATTGAATCCAGTGGGTTGTTTTGTTTCGTGTGTGTGTGTGTGTGTGTGTGTGTGTGTGTAAGAAAATATGAAGTTGAGAGGGAACATAAAGGGCATCTGGGAGAAGTTGGAGGAGATGGGGTTAACACAATCCTAATTCTCAAAGAGCAAATAAAAACGTATTATTTTTAAAGAGAAAGATCATCCTGCTTAGAAATATCTCGCTGATGGATTTGACAATCTTTAAACCTACATACGAAAAGGCATCCCTGAACTGAAGGAGTAAGATTCAAAGTTTTTCCATCAAAGGTAAATTGAGAGGCTTAGGGGCTTTCAACTACATGGTAAGACAAGAATTGGGCTCCAGCATTTATAGCGATTTGATGAAAGCCTTTATTAATATTTTCTGTATTCGCTGAAGGGAAATGAGCAGCTGAGAGCACGCTAAATGGGAAAACAGCAGTGAGGCACTGCACATCTTTAATTAGTGCTAATGGCGCTATGTAATTAATTCAATTTGCCATCCCTTCGTCAGCAGCAACATTTCTTCCCTGCAGCTTCCTCGAGACGCTGGAAACGAGTCCTGATTTGCTGCAAAAATATGTTGCTTTTGATCCTGACAGTAGCTATGGCATGCAAATGCATACTGCCTTCTGATCTGATAAGCTGGGGTCACACATGTGCGATCTTTTTTTTTTTTTTTTTTTTTTTTTTTTTTTTTTTTTTTTTTTTTTTTGGCTTTGTTTGTGTATGTTGTGTGTGTATGTACATAAAGACTCCAGATCAATTTGGGGTATCTTCCTCCACTGGGCTCCACCTTATTCATTTCATTAGCGGGTTTATGCGTATGAATGTGAGGGGTGTGTGTGCATGCATGTATAACCTGTTTGCCCCTGTGTGTGTGTGAGCACATATGCACATGAGTGTGTGTTTTAGGGGGGTGGAGGCCAGAGGTTGCCGTGAGGTGTCTTTGTCCGTTGCTCTCCACCTTATATACTGAGGTAGGGTATTTCACTTGAACTCAGAGGTCACTTTCTTATAGTCTGGCTGCCCAGCTTATCCAGGGATGGTCTGTCTTTCCCTTCTGCATGCTGGGATTACAGGAGGAAGGCCTGCCTCACCTCGTGGCATGACATTATATAGTGCTTTCTCAGCAAACACTTTACCCCCTGAGCCATTGCCCCAGCTGCTGCACTTTGTGCATATGAGTCTAGGTGCCTCTGGAGGCTGGAAAAGGATGTCGGATCCCTGGAGCTATAGTGCATTGCCTTGTATTAATGCTCGGAATCACTTCAGACCTGTCCAAGAGCAGCAAGTGTTCTTAACCCCAATGCCAGGCCTACAGACACATACCCTAACACTGAACTTTTTACATCGGTGCTGGAGACCTGAGCTCACGTCCTTACACTTGCCTGACAGGCACTTTACAAACTGAGCCTTCTCCCTGGCCTCATGTTGCTAGCCTTTTACAGGAGAGTTTCCAGATCATTTGGAAGTTTGGAGTCATTTTCCCCCCTCTTGTTGGCCTAGCTCCACAGAATCCTCACAAACTCTATTCCTAAGACCCATGGCCCTACTGTTGCAACAATGTTCCTGCAAAGACCAAGTCCAAATGCAGAGATCAGGGACTGCTTATTCCTCCTCTGCTACTGCCCTCTATTTGACAGCAGTAGGCTCCACTTCCAGCCTCATTTTCCCCAGCATAATTAGCACTTCATTAAAGGCTTTATTTCCTGCTATTGATTCAGTAAGATGCAAATGATCTCAGCTCTGCCCTCTGTCATATTTCAAGGTGAGCTATTGGCGAACTGTCACCCCTCATACCCTGTAACTCCCATGACATTGGATTGCCCTTTTGATCAGGGACTTCAGCCAATACACAAAGACATGAGCAGGGACTATCTTTTGGATATGACTATCAGAGAAAATATCCGAAAAGCAAAGCAAGATATGTATTGTATTACATATCTTGTATTACACCACTAAGGTGAAATGGAAGATGAAATTCTGGAAGGATGAGAAAGAAAATAACTACAAAGCAAGAGAGAAGCCAACCTCTGCAGAAGGTGGAGAGTCCAGATCCTGGGCTAAAATTGGCTATAATCAATGCCACATGAAACAGATGCTCAGAGGTATGTGTTTGGTTTCTCAGCAGTGTTCCCTTTTGGTGGAAAACTGACCTTTGGAAGAACAGATTACAATCAAATCTGATGTCACTGTTCCCTGGGAAAACCATTTCTATCTTAGAATCCAAGCGCAAAAAGTGAAAGCCATTATGACGGGGCCAGAGCTGTCACTGTTTATTCTTCCACAGAATTTAGAAGTTTCCCTTTTCCCAAGCAGCCCACTGCCTAAAACACAGGCTACGTTTTGGTTTTGCCACCCTCAGCCAAGTTCTTTTCAGCAGCCAAAATGTCCCACCATCTTGTGTAGCAGCAGCCTTACCCGTGACCCATTTAAGCTCTTTTCATGGTTTGTTACTGTTCTCAGTATACAATTTACATTTCATATTTCAGCCCAATTTTCTTCTTTTCCCTTCTGGAACTCTGATGAGGCAAATGTGAGACATTCATGGGGATTTTTGCTCCATTTTGTTTGCTTGTCTGCTGCTAGGGTGCTGAGCCCATGGCCTCGCTTAGATCAAGCACATTCTCCACAACTGAGTGACCACCCCAGCCCCTTCTGTGTCTTTTAACATCCTCGTTGTTTTTCTTCACTCTGGGTCCTGCATTCTGCATAATTTCTCCACATCTACATTCCACTTCACTAATTCTCTCACTGGCCAAGCCTAATACAAGACTGAGCAAGACCATTGATCTCCGTTTTAAAATCACCAAGTTTTTCTTTATCACTTAGAAATATATCTTCTCTAGGGTGTTCATTTCTCACTTACCTGTTTGTTGGTTTGATTTTGATCTAGAAGGCTTCTTTTGTGAAAAAATAATTTTTGGGTAATTTCAGGACTGGGAACCTGTTATGTCTTGTTTTACTGTGTTCTTTTTCATGTTGAAGAACCTGGCCTCCTTGAATGCTTGCTTGTTGAGTCATTCCTGAAAACTATGCGTTTACCTTAGGGAGCAGTTTGGGGAAATTGTGCGAGATATAGGCTGCTACATTCCCAACAGCATTACTGGTCTTAGACAATCTGAAATAAGTTTCTGACTTAAAATTTTCCGGACTGCTCAGGATTTATGGTGTGAGCTTCAGCTGCAAAGGAACAAGTTGATTTATTTCCAGTATTGGGTCTCCGTTCTGGGAGTTTGCTGCCCCTGACCTTTTCAGATCCCAGAAAACTTCCTTTGAGGGTACATAAATTTCTGGTTCATCATTAGACACTGTAAAGATGGAGCCCTGTGGGATCTCAACTTCATAGGCAGATGATTTACCTTAGGTTTTTGCCTAATAGTATTCCATTATCGTGTCACCTCTTAAATGGTTTCAAGATTTTTATTTTTTTAGGTATGTATGCGACCTAGGGTAATTGTTGTTTCTAACAAGACAGGCAAGCTGAGCCTCTAGCTTACCTCAGTGCTGGCAGCAGGAGTCTCATCTGGGGGGTGACCAAGCTCACGTCGCCCATCTCAGCTGTACTTGGTCTGCTTCTCTGTAAAACGGAGGAGTAACGGTGCCAGGCTGGGAGGACGGATGTGAAACAGATTCAAAATCACCGAGGGAGAATGCAGATCCATGGGCATAACACAGGAAGCACCCTGGAGTCCGCCCTGCTTTCTGAGCCTGTTGTCAGCTCCCACCTGTCAGCTGCTCTTGCTTTGTGTGCACATTTTAGAATTTTTGTGTCCTGGCTAGACTGTGGTCTGTGGGGAGTGAGGGCTTATGTCTGCCTGCCTTAATAACTCTATACCCCTCCTCACTACCTTGTAATTCAACACATCAGGTGTTCACCAAGCATTGTGAATAAATGTGTGTGTGTTTCTACATTGATAAGTGATTACAGAGGCTGGGATGATAGCCCAGTGGAGAAAGCACTTGGCATACAAGTGTGAGGACCAGAGTTGGGAGCCCCAGAACCCACATAAAAGCTGGGTGGGTGTGGCAACCACCTGTGCTCCTAGCACTTAGGAGACAGAGTAGAGGAGTCCAGGACTAGTCTAGAGAAGAACTGGAACTGCTGAGCTCCAGGTTGAGCAAGAGGACCTGGCTCAGTAAATACACACATAAGCACACACACACACACACATGTGCACCCCACACACATACGAACATGCATACATACACATGTGCAAACTACATGCACTTACGTATACACATACAAAGAAAGAGATCATAAACACCATATGGCTGTCTCTTGGTAGGAGAAACCTTAATGGATAATTCCCAGTGTGATTGCTGTTTGTGAATTTCACAGCATGCACCCCAATCCCACTCATCTCCCTGTCTTTTCATGCCTACTCTCTGCCCTTGCAACCTCCCTGCTCCAAAACAAATAAATAAATAAATTTTTAAAAAGAGAACATCTTCTCATGGAAGATGCAGTGTGTTATAGTGTGTCACCGTGTGTCACACAGTAAACCTTTTTGTCCACACATCTTTACTTGTTCATTGTAGTGAGTCATTGGTCTGGTTCTAGGCCTCTGGCTTCTGCTACACTATCAATACCGGATCCTCACTGGGACTCCTCTCTGATATCCTGTTGACACGGGGATCCTGAAGCTTTGGATCTGCAGTATTGGCCCCTTTATGTACTCCAGCAGTCCATAGATGGGGTGGACATTGGGGTGGGCCAGCTCAAAGCCCTGGATATGAGGCTGGGAGGTAGATGAGTTGATCAGCCTTCCGACTCTCCTTCACCCGCATCACCGGGGAGCGCTTTCCCGCTCTAGCTCACCCAAAGCCAAAGTCGGCAAGGAGCAGGTCATCTCTCCTGCCGTCATGTCCTTGGGGTAGGTTCTCCTTTACATTCACTAACAGAGCCAGTTCTACTGTGCTGCAGCCAGTGAGGAGCAGGGACAGCTCTCCCACTCTCATGACCTCAGGGCCAGCTCGCTTGCACCCTCCTCCACCCCACCACCACCAGGAAAGGGGCAGGAACAGCTCAGCACAGTGCCTCAGGTGGTTCAAACCAGGGATAGCTGCACAGCCTTTGATGGTAACAAGAGCCTGGGACATCCGCACAGATCCCAGCCGCCATAGAATCATGGAACCACGCATGGCTCCTGGTAGCAGCCTGCACCCGGATGTCCCCATGGCCTCAGGTGGCAATGCAGGCCACTCAAATTGGCATGCTCCCTTTGCAGCATGGCCCTGAGAGCTCTATGCAGTCTCCAGTGGCAGCCCAAACCATGGGCATATGCTTGGCCTTTGCTAGTAACTCGGGCCAAGACATCAACACAGACCCCAGATGCAGCAGCCTGGGTCCATGACCCTGACATGGCCCTTGGCAGCAGCCCAGGCCAGGATCTCACTGTGGTCTACTCATATGTACCTGTTCCTCACTGCTGTCAAGCCTCCAGTTCCACCTTTCTCCACAGCATCCAAAGCCCTCGACTTCACTCTCTCTTCCTTCTCTCTACTGCTTTTTCCATTTCTCCATCACACATTTGTCCATTGTAGTGGTGCCTGTGGCAGGTGCTTGGGTGTCTTTCCAGGATAGTTTTAAATGTCAACTTGACATGCTATAGAGCCACTTGAGAAGAGGGTCTCCAGGAGGAGTTGGATAGAAGAAATGCTTGGCCTGCAGCCATGCTTGTGAGGGTTTTTCTTAGATGAGATAACTGAGATAGGAAGACACACTCTGAACGTGGGTGACGTAATTTCTGCAGCTGGGTCCTAGCTTAAGAAAGGGTAGAGAGAGCTGGGCAGTGGTGGTGCACACCTTTAATCCCAGCACTCAGGAGCCAGAGGCAGTTGGATCTCTGTGAGTTCCAGAACCAGCCTGGTCTACAGAGCTAGTTCTAGGACAGCCTGTGCTACACAAAGGAACCCTGTCTTGAAAAACAAAAACAAAACAGAAAGGGTAAAGAAAGCTACCTGGCGTTTGCATGTATGCATCTCTTCTCTCTTTGCATCTTTACTGTAGATGTGCCCAACTCCCTCAAGTCACTGCCACCTAGACTGTGGACTGTGACCTGGAACTGTGAGCTAAATAAACCTTTCCCCCCCTCGCTTGCTTTTCGTCCGAGTACTTTATCATGGTAACAGAAATGAAACCAGAACCTTAGTTTGGAAATCGGTCCAGGAGCAAACGCATTCACTGTCTACCTCTATTTCCTCTTCTGCGGTATGGGGATAGCAGCCCTATCTTTGTGGCGGGAGTGAAGGTGTCATAAGAACAGGCCCGTAAGGCTTTCAGTGTGAGAGGAGCTCTGGCCACCACCAGCCACGAACCTTCCACTTTAAGAATGTGGGAGCAAAGGACCATCTGGTAAGAGAAGAATGTGATGTTTTTTATTTCAGAAAATATGTGTGACATGGCGTTTAGATGAAAACCAGGAACAGGCTCCGGTGTGCCTTTGCTGTTCAGCGCTTAGCTACACAAATGTACACAATTATAGAAAGCACCCCATAGTCCATTGGGCCCCTCCCTTTGGTTTACATTGAGAGGGATGGTTTATAAACATTTGTAACCAGTCACCAGCGCAAAAGGGGAAAATGTGTCCTGAAAAATGGCAGGAAGGGAATTAATCTCATAGGCTGAGGATCTATACAGCCAGGCAGCTGGAGAAGCAAAATCCAAATGACTCTTAAGTGTGGGTGGAAAATGCAGACCTTATCTTGAGTGTTAGCCTTGAGCTGTTGGATGTGCATAGACCTAGATTTCAGGTGCTTTTTATTCATTAAGGACTTAGCACAATTTCCAGTGTTGCCATCACTACCCACTGCAGCCTTACAGAAGGTTGTATGTCAGGTGCTATGACCTCAAGTGTATATTTTTATCTCACACCTGAAATGAAGAGGAGAGAGAATCTTATGATATGAGTGCCATTTTCCTCCATGGAGGCTGGTGTGTGTGTGTTGGGGGGGGGGTGTGCAGGCTGGCTAGATAACTGGCAATACATTGCAATAAAATGAACTGAAAACATGTTTTTTTCCTATTAGAATAATGCCTTCACACTGTGTCAGCCAACTTGGGGCAGCAATTCCCAACTGCCAGTATGCTGTCAGTCATAGCTGAAGGGAGAAGAGTCATGCGTGTCTTTGTTTGCATAATTTTTTAAAAGGCTGGCTTAAATCTAGGCATTATCATAGTCTAACCAAGTGAGAACTAAGAGTCCTTAAAATTAATTGACAAGTATCCACACTGAGTTGTCCATACGAACCACGTATTGAATTTTAAAAGTCTGACGGAATTGAATATTCTGATGTCAAATTTTGTTGTTGTTTTATCTTGTTTCTTTCTAGTTTTTCCAGATTGCTAGAACGTCCTTTTCAAAACTGAGAACTGGTGCATTGGTCTAGCCTCCTGATATTATTCCTGCTGTCACTCTGAACTGCACTTAGGATAAGAAAACTGTGTTCCCAACTGACAGTAGAGGAGATGTCACTATCTGAGAGTCACGGCAGGTAAAACAAGGCCTGAGTCATTCAGGGTTTATTTGAAGTTTAGGTCTATCACTGCTGAAGAGTTGTGATAGACCTAAACTTTGCCCTAGCCCAACATTGTGCTCTTAAGCTCACAAATGCTGTGACTGTCTGTACAAGACTGGGCCCATTAAGATCCTGTCAAGGATGAGGGAGGGGCTCATGAGGCTGAGACCATGAGGCAGTTGATGATTGCTGGGGAAGAAGAATGATTTTCCCCAACATTGTAAGCTACTGAAGAGGCATCCGAGTTACTCTAAACAACCTTGCACCTTGCTCCTATTCTCTGGGTCACAAAGAAACAAAAAGACATGAAAGTAGAAGAGAGACTAGCTGGGAAGAGAAAGAGGATGAGTAGGAGTTAATGGGATTGAATATAATAAAAGATAAGTTATGTACATGTATGAAAACACCCCACAAAACACTCATTTTTAATAACTAATATATGCTAATAAAACATTTTTTTTAAAGTTAATAGAGGACTACGAATAGCTCAGTGGTGGAGCACTTGCCTAGCTTGTGCTTGTGGAATACTACTCAGCAATTAAAAACAAGGAAATCATGAAATTTGCAGGCAAATGGTGAGATCTAGAAAAGATCATCCTGAGTGAGGTATCCCAGAAGCAGAAAGACACACACAGTATATACTCACTTATAAGTAGATACTAGACCAATAAGATAGAACAAACATACTAAAATCTGTACACCTAAAGAAGCTAAACAGGAAGAGGTTCCAGGGTAAGATGATCAACCTTCACTTAGAAAGACAAATGGGATGGACATTGGAAGTAGGAGAAAACAAGAAACAGGACAAAAGCCTACTGAAAGACTCTACCTAGCAGTGTATCAAAGCAGATGCTGAGACTAATCACCAAGCCTTGGGCAGAGTGCAGGGAATCATATGAAAGAAGGGGGAGTTAGTAAGACCTGGAGAGGACAAGAGTGCCACAAGGACCAAATATATCTGGGCCCAGAGGTCTTCTCTGAGACTGATTCTCCAACCAAGGACCATGTATGGATATAACCTAGAACCCCTGCTCAGACGTAGTCCATGGCAGCTAAGTATCCAAGTGGGTACCCTAGTAAGGGGAACAGGGACTGTCTCTAACATGAACTCAGTGGCAGGCTCTTTGACCCACCCCCCAAGGGAGGAGCAGCCTTGCTAGTCTGGATATTACAGACAGTCCTGATAAGACCTGATAAATTAGGGTCAGATGGAAGGGGAGGAGGACTTCCCCTATCAGTGGACTTAGAGAGGGACAGGGAGAAGATGAGGGAGGGAGGGTGAGATTGAGAGGGAATGAGGGAAGGGGCTACAGCTGGAATACAAAGTAAATAACCTGTAATTAATATAAAAAACAAAAATTATTAAAAAGAAGTAAATAGAGGACTATGAAGAGCTCAGTGGTGGAGCACTTGCCTAGCTTATGCTAGATCTTGGGATCAGTACCCAGCACCATGGAGAGAGGGGGAGAGGGAAGGAAAGGGAGGAAGGAAGAGAGAAAGAATTCCAGTAGACTCAGGGCTGGAAAGCTGGTCATGTTCCTAGGACACCCTTGGTGATTTGTGTCTTAGTGATTCACAGATTGTTTATCTCTGTTTCTTAAATTATGATTCAAGAGATTCTAAGAAAAAGAATGGATTATAACTACTAAATTTTAGAAATAAGAACCATTATATCATACATTTCATGAAAAAAAAACATGTTTTTTAAAAAAAAACTGATGACATTATAAAATTCATGATAAGTTTTCATTTACCACTCCAAAACACACTTTACAAACATGAGCTAATTGATCTTAAAAAGTACCCCTATACAGAATTGTTATGATGATCCTTATTTCTTATGGAAAGAATGGAGGATTATGTGATTAAATTTTATGTTTCATTGGGTTCCAAGGGTCTTGATGCTAGTGTTTAATTTTAACTAATCATTATAACATGTAGGTTAGAAAAAAAATATTAGGTAACCTTTATGGCCAATTATTCATTTCAGAACAGTTTGGTCATAAAAAGAATTTTCATCTCTTAATAAACCTCTGTTGTCATGGAAATGTTTCAGTTCCCTCTGTCCTCCAATTGGCTCCCTCAGAACAGCCATAAACAAGCAGATTAGCTATGGCCTGGGGAAGTCTTTAATGATGGTTTCTAACAGGCTTTATTATAGCTTGGCCAAAGTCCATCTCTCAAGCTAAGGACCACAGGATGAAAGGACTACTACCTAGGCTGTGGGGCGATGGCTGTTTATCCCAACCTGCCTAACACTCTCCCTCTTTCTAAGCCACACACAATAAATCCATTACTGTTTATTGTGCAGAAATCCTATTTCATCTTGATCAGCTAAAGAGCATGAAATTTGGTTTACTAGGAATTGCCACAGGATCTCTCAGAATCTGCTTTCCCCCTAAAATTTCAAAATAGGGGTCTACTGTTTGCTTTCAATTTAATGGACGGCCTTTGTGAACTAAGATAGCTGTTATGTCATCCAGGCTTGGGAGCCTGCCTGATGTATGTATGATTTTATATTTACAAAAACAAAAAGCAAACTCTACTTAAATCACTTAATAGAAGAGCTATGCAACATATTCCATAAATACGTTTAAACATGTAAGCTCTAGATTATAAAACTATAAAATTTTACTCAGACATGGTCTATTAGTTATATGTCTTGTTGCTGCAACAAAATTCCTGCAAAAGCAATGGAAGTGTTGTGGGATACCCACCAGAGAAGACTGCTCTGACATGGGTTTGAACCCACAAAACGTCTTTATTATTAGCTCAATGATGATCACACTGGGTGTTCGGGATCCTAGTAGAATCCTGAGCCTTTCTCAGGGTGAGCTCTTAAGCTCAAAAGCCATGTTTTACGTAGGCATGCTTCAGTTAACAAGAACAGTTAGGCAGAAGCAAACTACAGAAGCCGAAAACAAAGTTTAGTATATTTAGAGACTTCCCCAGAACTATAGACTCTGATGGAATAAGCCTTTGTTTTAGTTTTTGGGTAGTTTGTGCTGTCTACATGCTGAGTTTTACAGCCTGGATGGTATTTCCATCATGGAGTCAGTTGTGCTGGGGGCTGAGAGCATACTAAGGGCTGGGTGCATATTAGGGAAGAGGGAAGTGTTTGTTTTGGCTCCAAGTTCCAAGGTACAGCCTGCTGTGGGGGGAGGTAATAGTGGCAGGAGCCTGGGATAAGTGGTCATGTTGTATCTACAGTCGAGATGCAGAAAGGTATAAACTTTGTACTCAACTTTCTCTTTTGCCTTCAGTGTGGGAGCCCAGACCAGGAGGTACCATCTATGTTGAGGGTAGTTTTTCTCTCTCAGCTAACCTTCTCTAAATAATCCCTCACATGCCTGCCAAGAGATTTGTTTCCTTAGGGAGGCTAAGTCTCATCAAGTTGACAGCCAAAATGAACCCTTACACATGTGACATCCATCAGAAATCTCAACACTTAGGAGGTAGAAGCAGGAAGTTGTAAGTTTGAGGCCACATACATAATATTGATAAAAATCAATAACAAAAATAATTAAAACATTTTCAAAAGATTTGTTGGCATAGACTTTCCAGTGTTTCTATATGAGTTTAAAACATCTTGGTTTGGACATCACTAACTAGAGGCCTTCTACTTCCTGCATATAGGGATTTTCTTCTATCTTCTAAGTAACTCATTTCTATTTTCCTGCATGACTAAATCAGATTTTCATGTCCTATTTATTTCAAACCCCAGCTTCTCCCTGTCTAAAGACCACCTCTGCTAGCCCATTCCTCCTGTGTTCCTTCTTTCAAGAATGATAACTATCTGCTCAGCTGGACACCCACTATCCTGGGAGCTGTCCTTGACAATTCCTTGTCCCTCCCTCTAATATTAGTTACACCCTATTCTTGTGACTCTGACTCTCAGATTCCTTTACAGATGTACCCCTGTTTTTCTGTTTCTGCATCACTATCTTAGGTAGACTCTTTGGCTTGGGAGGCAGGCAAGCCTAGGGTTAGCTTAGTAACCCAAGAACTGCTTGGCTTGAGCTCCATGTACATAACCTTTCCCTAACAATGCACTTAGCAACCTAGTATACCACCTGCACTAAACTGCATGCGCGCGCGCACGTGCGCCACACACACACACACACACACACACACACACACACAAACCCCTAAACAAAAGCTATCCAGTCACTCTGACCTACAGCTCCCTAGGAAACCTTAGTAACCACCCCCACCACACACACATGTGTGTACATGCCACCCTTGTGGTCAAACATATCCTGGAACCCAGCCAGGGTCTAGGAGCAGTGGGCCTGTCCTAATTTGTTTTCTATTGCTGTGATAAACACTGACCAAGACCAACTTGGGGGTAAAATGGCTTATTCCATCTTACAACTCTAAGGTTAAAATCTAACAGGGAAGTCAGGGCAGGAACTCAGGGAAGGAACCTGGAGGCAGGAGCTCAAGCAGGGAGCATGGAGGGATGCTGATGATTGGCTTGCTTCCTGACTCATTTTTAGACTGACCTGTTAAAGATGGCACCACAACCCCCACAGTGGACTGGGCCTTTCTACATCAGTCAACAATCAAGAAAATGCTCCCACAGACATGTTCACAGGCCTGGTTCAGGGAGGCAATTCTTCAACTGAGGTTCCCTCTCCCCTGGTATGGCAGGTTGACAGCCAAGATTAGCCAACTTGACAACCACTCTACCCTACACTGGTTTTAGATGCACGCGCAGCAAGCAGGGCACTGTCATCTGCATGAATATGTAGGGGAGAGTCCTATTTATAACCTTATGCCTATGCATGATTGGGCTTGCATATCGTATTAAAATAAGATGCATCTTCAGAAAGGAAATGTGTGGTGGACACGGGTTTACATAACTAAAGCCTATCAATAAAAACAGAAAGCCCACCCATGTAACACTTGTGACAACCAGCTCTTCTTCCTCCTTGACCAACAAAAGCAAGCCCTGGGCAGTGATCAGGCCTTCT